TTCTCCATCCTTTGAGAAGAAACTGTCACCTGTATGTGCTTGTTTATGAATCAGACTTCTCTGGAATAATTTAACAAACTTCTGTATATTCTACAAATGTATGCCCCTCTTTAATAAAGTAAATTTAGATTTCCTCCATAATAAAACACAGAAATAATATTAGTAATTTTGACATGACTAATATGCACAATGTACTAAGAGTTAGCTGTGTTGTGTCTGAAAATGCAAGCCAACTGATATTAAAAATGCTATTACTTACAAAATATTCAACTTATAATACCCAAAACATTAATTGTCATGTTAGATATTTCACTATTCATGTAACCATTACTCAGGAAAATAGTTTTGTCTATAGTGTGGGTACAGGAAATGGATTGTGATTGATTTTCTGTAACAGGTAAAATAAATGATAACCTAAGATGATAAACAATGCCTAAATGTAGCTCAGATACTGGCTGAAGTTTTCTGAAACTTTGAATTTTACAAGTTAGAGGGAGTTTTTTTTATAGCACAATTTAGCAAATAGTTTTATCGTCCCTGCTTTTACCCTTCTTTCTTCTGTAAGTGCCTTTCCAATCCCTCCCACTTCACATTTTCTCTTTGGCTCTCTTCTTCTACCTCTATCATTTTGCAAATGTACTCTCATTTTTACTTGTGGCCTCTCAAATTCTCCTGTTTTCATTTTATAAGTGAATTCTGTTCACTTTGTGTGTGTGTGTGCGCTGGGCACTTTAGTCATCTCTTCTAATCATCCATTGCTTCTTTGAAAGTCACCCTTTATAGGTTTTGTGTTCAAATGTGAAATGGTCCCCATTTGAAGACCAGGTCCCAGGATAGTGATATTGTCTAGAGAAGTTATGGAGACTTTAGGAGGTGGAGCCTTGCTGAAGGAAGTCCATTAGTTGGGGGTGGGGTGGGGAGTGTTCTACTTGCCCTTCCTGGTTGTCATTACAATGTGATGAGCTGGCTTTCTCTTCTGGTCTCCCCCCCGCCGTTGACATGTCTTCCCTGCCATGATGGATTCAATCCTTCTGGAACCATAAGCAAAGGGAACTAGCCCCTAAGTTGCTTTAGTTGTGGTATCTTGTCACGGCAAAGGAAAGGAAGCAAAGACAATGGTTCCAATATTTTATAGTTAAGACCAGGTCGGAAGACCAGTTGGCATCGATGGTTATGTTTTCTCACAGTAAATTACAGCAATCTCTAAAGAGACGGTGGCTATGATAAAATTTGCATATGCATTTTTTTAAGTAAGAGTGTTTACATTTTGGTTCATGTTTAGGTTCAATGGAAGAAACACACACACCCCAGCCACCATACAGTTGACTAGTCATATCTATCATTAGAGAAGTTATAATTTAATAAACAATACTCAGTCATTTGTAATGCATGCTAGTAATTTACATCAGGGCTGCTTCATGAGTTTCACGTGCTATGTATTTGGCCAAATGCATATCTCCATATATCTACCATCACAGCTACACCCAGAATTTCCCATGCCTCACCTATTGATCCCTCTCTCTCACTTGGAGAATCTCTAGAATCAAAAAGCTTTTCTGGCCTTATCTACATTCATGGTCCCTTATTTATAAAATGAAAAGGCAGGAACAGACAGACTCCTTTCTGTAGTCTGACTGGACCCTAGTTCTCCCGAACTCTTTCTCCACCAGCTTCTACCTTTTGGTTTCTGGCATTTTGTTTCTCCTACATATTGTGCATGTTTAGGAGGACATATACTAAGCAAAGCAATAATTGTTTTGTGAGTATAGATTTTCAGTTGGCGATAATGAAAATGTTCTGGAGATGGATGGCGGGAAAAGCTTTAAAATGAGGCAACTATACTTAATTCTGTGAAATGTATACTTTATAATAGCTCTCCTGGGAAGTTTTATATTTTATATAAATGTCACAACAAAAAAAAAGAAACTTGCTAGCTCAGTTTAATGCTGATTCCTCATATTCAGTGCTAACCTCATCCTTTATCCCTGGCTTCTAGTGATGTCTGTTCACTGTGGCCTGGCTGAGCTCGACATCTCTTACTCTGGTTGTGTTCAACACCCTGGGCATTTGTTTTTCTTGACACATTATAGTCAGTGAACACTTCTGGATGTTTGACTGTTATGTATTTTGCCTCTCTTTACTTCTTGGATTTAAACTTACCTTTGTCACTACGGAAAGCACCCAGCAGTGTTGTGTGTGGCACAGGGAAAGAGAACTCTCAAAGTTCTTACAATATCTTAGAAGTAGGCCTGGTGATGGGATTTGTGGGCTTTCTCTTTCTTGAACGAAGACTAGCTCTCTACCGCGTCTTTTTTATCTACCTCACATACAGACCGACCAAGCAGCATCGGTCGCTTCTCTATGCCTTTGTTCTCTCTCCTAACAGTCATAAGAAGAGGGGGTAAGATCAACCAGCACACACTGACGTGTTGGGTCCCAAGCTGCTGTCTAATTTTCTGGTCTCCTTCAATATTCACTTGAGAATCATTTTCTGTTCTGGTAGACAGACAGACTTTGTCCCATGCCACTGCAAGTTATCTGGGCCTATTGAGTTTTCCTAAAATATGCTTACAATAAAAGTATCTGCACTGTCCATTTTCACTAACCCCTATAGAAACTGAGTATCAAAACTATGGGAAATCATTATACTATGTGAGTGTCTCTGTGTAAGTAGAAAATCTGTTGTCATTTGTCTTTTTCAATCTGTCTCTGTCAATATCTTCAACTGAAATTTCAGATTTCAGAGGAGGAACTTGCTTAGATATTTTTAACAAGTGGTATGAATAACTATGTTTCCTAACAGCAGTGGTAGAATACTGGAATTCTGTTAATGTTGAAGGAAGCATAGTTAATCTCTGTCTCTTTCACAGAGTAGGGTATCTATGGTAATATTTTATTTGTACTGAAATGTAATTTTATTTATATGTTAATAAATAAAGTTGTCTGGGGGTCAGAGCTACTAGCAAGCCATAGCAGAAGCTGGGCAGTGGTGGTGCACACCCTTAATCCCAGCTCTTAGGAGGCAGAGCTAGGCAAATTTCTGTGTGTTCGAGGATATTGCCAGCATGGAGACACATGCCTTTAATCTCAATACCAACCATAGAAGACCTGGAGGTCTGTACAGACAGGCAGTGACGAGGCGGTCATGTGGTTGGGATTACAACCAATGAGAAGGCAGAACAGAAAGTCTATATAAAGACAAACACACAGGAAGTAGGTCTCTTGGCTGAAGAGGCTAGCTGCAGCAGTGAAGGGTAAGGCTCTTAGCTCTGATATCTTGGGCTTTCATCTCTGCATTGGCTCTGTGTTTCTTATTTAATAAGACGGTTACTTCTACAGGTATCCATCAGTGTTTATGTACATTCAACAGGTAAACTATAAGTGAGTATTAACATAGCAAACAAATCATGTAAATACTCCATTTGTCTTAAGGTCTCCTGTAAACTGCTTTGGTCACTTGGGGAATTTGAGTCCGTTTTCATTACTCAGGTTTACTAGATTCACAGATAAGGAGCTGGGGAAGCTGGTTCCATGTTAGACACTTGATTTGAGTCAGCCTAAACACATAGTAACTGAAATAATGGTCTCCTTTTAAAAAATAATTTTAGCAACCTCATCAATACTTTGCAACTTATTTCAAATGTAGCAATAGTTATTATAGATATAATTATTCAATTTGTTTTTATTAGAGTCCAATCGCAGCAGTGTCATGATTTGTAAAATATTAATCATCTTAGGGATATTTCTTAATTTTTTTCCTCTCTCTCAAGTTTTCTTCACATGTGAAGAGTGAATGTCTCTCAAGTAGCCACTAATCTTCCAAGGATAAACAGGACAGATTAATGTTTAGCTGAACACAGCGGATAAATATGCCATTCAATCATTCGTCTCTTACCTACATTTGCACTTGTAAATTACAGTCTCTTATAATTAGAGTATAGAGCAGATGGTGAAGATTTGGTTGAAGGAAATGTTTCCTTCAATATAGACAGTGTGCCAATTGATTTCTTCCAAATAAGTTAGATTAAATGGGCGCTGGACCTGATAGCTATACTGTAAGTCTGCCTTTAAAAGAATGTTACTCTAAGGTGCTCACTCTGTCAAAGGGAAGAGAGAAAGATGATTGCTGTGTGACTAGAAGGAAACCACACTCTATAAAGTGACAAGATTCAGCATGATAAGAAATGCATTTCTACCCCATTTTCCTTTACAGAAAAAAAATAATCTCACATATCAATGAATATAATCACAACATGATTTTAAATAAAATGAGTTTTGTAGACTGCCAACTAATGGCTTGGTAAAATACTTCTGCTTCTTTTATGGGGCACGACCTTTGTGAGTAATGCAACTAGCATAGAAAAAAAAAACACAAGCATAAGTCACGTATATGGCAAGGGATAAGACTCAAGTACTTTTGTCTAATGGGCACCAATATATTCATATTAATATGTATATGTACATGTACTTGTATTCACATATGAATAGAGTTTATCCAAACAATCTGTTAATATTAGTATGTTCTATGAAACCTTCAATAAAATAAGGTAGGGACCTTAAAAAGTAACTCATTTATTAACTGCATATGTACACAAAATTTTTCAAATTTTCTTATGTGGGGTGATGATGTGTTTAGCATAACCAAATTAGGTTTTATTAAACAAATCATTTAAATTTGTTACAATGCCCCAAATAACCTTGCAGACCTGCATTTATATCACATTTCTATATAGAAAATCAATTATCTATTTGAAATTAGAAAGATGATTTAGTCATGTTTCTATTTACCTATATAAATATTGGTTTTTTGAGATGGGGTTTCTCTCTGTAGCCTTGGCACCTTTCCTGGAACTCACTCTGAGGCCCAGACTGGCCTCAAACTCATAGAGATTCACCTGCCTCTGTCTCCTGAGTGCTGGGATTAAAGGCATGTGCCACCACCACTGCCTGGCTCTATTAAACAATTAACCACATACAAATACTATCCCCAGATATTTTTTCCAAATTATAAAATTTGCCATAGTCAATGGTGGCCTGTGGGGATCAGGGAGGGGATGAAAGTGGAAGAATCTGGGAGGATTTCTTTTCATCTGTGTACATCTCTGGGCAGCTTGTAGACACTTGTTTGTTACAACTCTTCTGAGTGGGCGGAGCTCAGCTACACAGTTCTGCCACTTTGCCTGTCGGATGACCGTCTTCCTAGAAGAGAGAAGTATAAAATCTCCATTTTCAAATTATTTTTAACTTTAAACTGTAGCACTGTTTTGGCATTAATAGTTCTTCTATTTTAATATTAAAATACCCATCATGGGAAATACTTGTTTGATCTCCTATTTACTTCTCTCTCCCCATTTTGTCATTTCTGCTTCAGTCATGAAGTGGATTGAGACAGGTGGGTTTTTGGATGTATTTTTGGAACTTTTTTTTCTATTACATTCCTTTGTCTTGTCATTAACTACTCTTTTGTTAGGTTTTACAAGCATAAGAATTAGAGGAATATAGGGGTTTTCGTTTATGCTATTTATATGTCATTTATTTGCTCTGCAGGACTGCCTGAGCTGGCATATTCCCTGAATTTCTAATGTACAATCTTCTCTTTGATTGCTCCCCTCTTCCCACCTACTTGGTCCACCCTACCTCCTTGTCTTCTACTGTCAGTTACTCTGCTACTTGATCCTTTGCTGGTTGGGCCTCCAGTATGGCCAAAGTCAAGCTCATTTTCTAGATCAATGCATAGCATGCTTCCATAATATGATACTTTCAAGTGCACAGACTTCCATGATTTCTTTTTCATTCCAGCCTTCACAGGAACAACCAGATGCTCATTGCTCTCAATATTTCCTGATATTTCCTCTCATGCATGACAGATTTTCAGAGAACAGATGGTGACTCTCCCTGTGAAGTCCTCCTCTTGTCAGAAGGAAACTCTGTCTGGTCAACTGACATGGAAATTCACAATTCTGTAGATTTCAATAGTTCACCCATCAGAATGTAGGAAGAAAGGAGGATAGGAGATTTCTATTTGTGAATGCATCTCTCCAACAACTTCATTGATGTTCATATGTTCCTAGATACATGGGTGTGACGTTGGTAAATTTTGAAAAATGAGGAAAGGAACTAAGAGAGGGTTAATAGAGTTGCCAAGGGAGGGAAAGGAAGAGTGTAAAAGGACATGTGTGACATGAGTGTGGAATGTCACAAGGGCAGACAGGAAGGGAAGGAATGGGAGTTGGAGTGGGAAGGAGAATCTGATAGAACACACTGCTTGAAAATGCCATTCATTGTATTTAATACATTGTATGTTAATTATAAACCAAATAAATAAATAAAGTGGGGCAAATACAAGCTAGAACGCAATGGACAGGTGAGTACCCATGATCGCACTGTGACTCAATCACAGGTCCTAGAATTGTCCTTTCCATGCTGCCCTGTGCAAGCTGTGTGAGTGATGAGGATGCAACGATCAGGAGCATTTGTTCTTAGCTTCTTCTGTGTTACAAACTAAAGATATGAAAGCCTGGGCTTGATGCAAGATTGTATCCTAATTTCTAAGATGCATTTGGCAAAGAAATATGTTTTAGAAGATTGAGAGCAGAATTTTTTCATGTTAACCCTTCCTGATCTCAATGGTGAAGTTGGGTTTTTTTTCCTGCAAATGTTGACACAATGCACAATGGATGTTTCTAAGACTTTGCCAGATAGACATCATTAGGTGGATCATATCTCTTTATTGGACTGGAACTTATGCTAGGCACACATTGTTGCTATGAGGGAATCCTGCCTACACAACTCTCAATGTTTACTTTCTTAAATGCTATTTACACATCTAAATGAGGAAAAAATGTCGAAGAAAAAATGGCATATCTTCATAGTGTTTCCATTGAAAATTTGAAAAAGACGTGGGTTGAAATACTAAGATGTAATGCATTGTAGAGGAGATTTAAGTGGTTTTACCTCTCAGAGTTACTTAGCCTTCTTAGTTTTCTCATCAAAAACCAAAATTGAAATAATTGGCATACATACTAATTTCATTTATGAAAATATATGTGAATTATGCAACTGAAAATTCTCTTGAGAAGTATGCTATTTATTTGCTGAAAACCATTGACTAATTTACATTACTTCACTTCTTCATACTGATGTTCACCAAGAAAATATCATTTTGCATAATAAAATGCATCTCAAAGTTGTTTCCTTTTCAGAGATACAGTAACAATCAAAATATATTGATTATTTTTTAAATAAACACATGTAACAAAGACACTAAAATGAAATGGAACCATTGCTGTGGTATATCCCTGCAAATCCCAGAATTCTGAAGACATAAACAGGTTCATCTCCAGTTCAAAGTAAAAGACTGAGTCTGAAAAAATAATAAACAAGCCATAAAATAAATAATTTAAAACAATGAGCTATAAACCTAGAGTATCCTTCCTTGTTATGTAAAAGACTTAAATTTAAACATTTTTTGTTTTCTTAAGGAAATTTGAGAATTAAATCATGAAGTCCAAATGATCCAAAGTAGTTATAGAAACTATAAAGAGAAGAAATTCTGGAGGTATCACAAAACCACATTTCAGATCATACCTTAGAGCCATGAAATTAGACACAGCATGGTGGTTGCACAAAACCAGAATTGTAAATAGGTGACTTAGAATAAAGGACCTAGGAGCAAATCTTCATTGCTACAGTAACTGATTTTTGACAAACCTTTAAAAAAAAATCAAGGATTTAATTAATCAGTGGTTTTCGACCTGTCCTCTTTAACACAGAGTGCTGCAAAATCACATGGCCACAAGGAGAACAAAGAAGCTAGAACCCCACCTCCTCTCACCAAATGCAAGGTCAATTCAAAACTGATCAAAGACCTTCATAGAAGACCACATTCTGAATCTTCAGAATCCAGAATAAGAAAACACTTCAAGATACAGGCATAATCCAAGTCTTCTTAAATGGAATGAAAAAAGCTCAGGCTTCAGGCAATAAAACAACAATGCATGGAATTCCTTAACAGTTAAGGAAATAACTGAATGAAGGAATTCCACACAGGGATTAAAAACAAACAAACAAACACAAAAACTTTTGTTAGATATACCTCTGAGAGAAAACTGATATGTAGAATAAAGAATTAAAAGATATTAATAACAAAACCCCAAACAATCCAATAGTGAATGAGTTAATGAAATGAGTAGATGGGTCTCAAATTACAAAGTACAAATTGCTAACCAACATGTTAAAATATCTTTGTCTGTTTACAACGATCAGTTATTGTGAGAAAAAGTTCAGCTTCTAAATGTTCCTGTGAGCTTGCCTCTTCCTTCCTTCTGTTGGTTTCCAGGATGTATTTCAGTTGTGTTATTGGGAGCACACAGACTAGCTATCGCTCTAAGTGGAAACTTAACTGAATCTTTAATCCTTTACCTCACTCTTCTTTGATTCTGGCCATTCTTGAAACTTGGTATATGAAATTGGATTTTTAAACTAGGCTTTATTATTTCTTGCAGTTAATATGAAATAATTTTCTTATTCTTTTAATTTTAATACTCTTGCTTTGTAAAATTAAAGGAGATAAATTTTTAAATTACTACAAGTTTATTTTTTAATCTTACTAATGAAATAAAAGGTTAAGTTTTTAATTTAAAGTTTTTGTTAAATATTGGAGAATTTCATACATGGATATTGTATTAACATAATTTTCATACCTGCTGCTTCCCTTTCTAACTCCCTGTATGTCTCTCATACTTCTCTACAAATGCATGGCCTCTTCTGTATTGATTACTCTCTCTCTCTCTCTCTCTCTCTCTCTCTCTCTCTCACACACACACACACACACACACACACACACGCACACGCACACGCACACGCACACACACACAATATGAACACAGACAAACACACACACACCATATAATCTTCTGTGTCCATTTAGTATTGCTTTTATGAATATTTGCTTGGAATGACCACTTTGGATTGAACAACCTATCAAAAGTCTCATCCCTGAAAAATATTGGTTCTCCCTTTCTCAGCAACTATTAACCTTTGTAGCTCATCTAGGGTTGTGACCTTGTGAAAGTTTCCCCATCTTGGCTGGTATGTAGACTGATGAAGTTATTTAGATCTTGTTTAGTCAACCAATAGTTGAGACTGCATGGGGATAGCTTCCCTATACATTATAAGGAAGACATTATCAAGCAGCAGGCAACAGCTCCTCAACTCTCAGTCTTTCAACACCCTCCTCCTCAGTGCTTCTGCAGCCTCAAATGTGGGAATGGCTTATAGATGTTCCAATACTGACTGGACAACCCACCGTCACTTATTCACTATATTTTGGCCAGTTTTGAACTTCTGTAGCCTTCATATGCTGACAAAAAAAAATCTTATTTGATGAGTGGTAAAAGTACACTTATCTATGAGGTCAAAGATAAGCATTTAGACCACTGTTAGAAATTATATCTAATTATATCTTTGGGGAAATGACAGAAGTAAGTTCTACTGTAGCATCTATCACATCCTCAGCTGCTAGTGGCAGGCTAGGTTTCCAGTTTGAGACATGCATTACCTCCTAATGATCAGACTTTAAGTCCAATTAGACAGCTTTTAGTGACCCCAAATATATAAATGCCACCATTGCATTGCTGTCCTTGGTGACAACCTATAGAGATGGGCAAGACTAGAGAGATGACTTTTCTCACGTTGTAGCTTGCAGAGTACCTTCTGATACTATGACAGAGCGTCCTCAAGGAGGAGGCTTCCAGGTCATGCTTGAAGAGGAAAAAAAAAAACTATTTCTAAGGACACTACACACTTTGGACACAGGATTTGAAGGAATCAAGTTGAAAAATCTTATTCTTAAATTACAATTTCATTAATTTTTTTTCCAGCCAATATCTTGGTTCAGAGACTACACTGAACATTTTTCTTCTTTTTCTTCCTTCATTTAAAACTATCTTTTATACTTTTTTCATTTCCCTTCTATTAACTTTTTAATTATTCATTATCTTATTACAGCATGCAGAAAATTCTTATTAGAATACAGTTTAAAATATCACTTTAAAGAAACTCTTCCCAGAAAATCTGAAGCTCTTAGCACATTTAACTACATTAAGTCCCATTTGAGATATTTTGCCTACATTTTCATGAACTTTCATTCTGTTGTTATCTTAAAATTCAGAAGATAAAGAAGCTATTTAAATATTTAAATTTTTACACTTACTTCGAGTGAGTGCATGGAGGTGCATGTGAACATGCCACAGTGTATGTGTGTGTGGAAGCCAGGGGAACATCACGTTAGTTATCTCTGCCATGTGTGTTCTGTGTTTGCGACTTTACCCACTGTCATAGTTGTTATTTTAAAGTATTTTGATCTATTTCTTTAGTTTTCTTCTCAAATGCTATTTATCGGGTGGTAAAAATAATTTTATTTCAACTCTTAAAAATGGAATTCTGTGGCTTTGAATGTCTTCATTACTTCTGAAAAGCTAGGTTGTACTTTAACACCTCTTGAAGATAACTTGTTAATAAATTTCCCTATAGTTTTTAATAAGTCTACTCTGATGTGCCTATGTAAACTATGGTGTACAGTCTCTACTTGTATATAGAAATGCTTTCTCAGCTCCTTGATTTCTTTGTCAGTTTGGATATGGTAGGACTTCCAAGACACTGCTTCTCTAATATCATGTCATCTTCTCTCTATAGGCTCCTCTGCTCTGTGCTTCAGTTTAGAGTGTGCTACACGCCTCTTCGTGCTCTCTTCAATTCTGTTTCATGCTATGAATTTCATTGGATATTTTATCTTAACCTCTTTGGTGTGCTAACTAGACATCATCGAATACCTTATCCTTAAATCATCATTTGCAATTTGATTTTAAATACAGTGTTTTTAATCTTTGGGGTTACCTTGGCCTTTCCTGAAAATAGATTCAATGGTGATTTATTTTACTCTTTTTTCAAGCACACTACTCAGAACATAATTAACATCATCAGTATGTTATAGTTTCACATCTAGGTTTTAAATGGGATCCTGAGACTCATTTTACTTAACAGGTAACCAGAGACTGAAAGTGTCCGGCCCTCCTGACTTGGAACTCTTCACAACTATGAGCCAAATTAAAATTTTTCTCTTCTGAGTTAGCTGTGTTGTGTGTCATGTATATCATTATAATGATGAAAGCTGATTGCACCATCAAAAGCGTTGGAAGTAAGGATATTTAGTGGTGTTATATTTCAGTTTCTATTGCTATGTCTAACCCTATTTCAATTGCATTTTTATAACTCAGTACAATCTAAGAAAATGATAGGCATATTGGTCCTACACATAAATTATAATATAAAAATATAAATCAGTCTCACAGAGTTGAGATAGATTTGCCTCTCATTAAGTACATATTACATGCAATAATCATTCATTACTTTACTATTAAATTATTGGGCAAAAAACATAGGCCAATGAAAAGATTGAGATTTCATATATTATATACAGAATTAAAAATAGGGTGATTTTCATGGAACTAATAAATCTTAGATTAAAATTAATGCTATATATTTTATTTAATTATGAGAATGAGTGTAATACAGAAAAGACACGACAAAGAATAGTTAATAAAAAGGAAAATAACTCATAGTTACCTAACTATGAATTTTTAACTATTTATGTTCTTCTCTTATGTTTATATTTTGCTTGGTTATTCATATATGCATCATGGCTGTGCCCAATGCCTGTGGAGGCCAGAGAAGGATATCTAATTCCTTATGACTGGAATTATAAATGGTTGTTAGTCATCATGTGGGTGTGGAGAACAAAACTTGGGTCCTTTGGAAGAGTACCTAGTGCTCTTAAATACTGAGCCATCTAGTCAGTCCCATAAAAACACATTTTTTCCTTCTAAATTTGATGTTTTTAAGTTCAACTGTGCATATATAGTAGGCAAATATATGTCTAGTGCTGTAATGATTGCAATTCTTTTTTTTTTTTCTAGACAGGGTTTCTCTGTAGCTTTGTGCTTTTCCTGGAGTTTGCTCTGTAGACCAGGCTAGTCTCGAACTCACAAAAATCTGCCTGCCTCCGCCTCCCAAATACTGGGATTAAAGGCGTGCACCACCACTGCCCGGCCTTGATCACAAATCTTAAACTGAGCTTTGGTAAAAGTTAGATTAATTTCATTGCCAACTTCACTGGATTTAGAATAATGTGGAGAAGAACATCTGAGTGTGTGTATGTGGTACTTGTGTGTATGTGGTACTTTAAACTGAGGAGACAACACCTATTCTCATTGGAGGCAGCACTGTTCCAAGGATTGGGGTCCTTTACTGAATAAGAAGTCAAAAGAACTGGACCTGAGCATTCATTCCTCACTTCCTGTCTGATACTTTTTCACCAGTTTCTTTATACCCCTGCTGCCATATCTCCACCATACTTTCATGCACCTGCACTGTGAACCAAATAGCACATTGATTCCTCCATTTAATTGGGTTGGGTATTTTCTTACAGAAACGAGAAAAGTAGCTTTTGTAGTATGCATATAATAGTTTTCACTTATTATTTAATTACCTATTTGACTTTTCTATGAGCTTTGTGATTAAGACGCAATGTTGTTCTATGTAAGAGCATCACAAAACCTTTGTGTGGGGCAAAGAAGAAATAAGCTGAAAATTTCCTTGAAATAAATATTTTATATCTGTCTTTATGGACAATATGATAATTATATTTAGAAATTCATTATTGCATCTCATTGAAAGGTATGTCTCCTTGGGTCTGGAGATGTAATTCAGGGGTGGTGGTGGATCTGATTGCCTGGTAAACCAAAGACTTGGGATTGGTCCCTAGATCTTCATTAAATGCAGTATGATATTTTGCAGCTGCAGTCCCAGCACTTGGGAACATGGACAGGAAGGCCAGGAGCTCAAGGTCATCTTTAGATATGTAGTAATTCTGAAGTTTGTCTGAAGTATCTGAGACCCTGTCTTAAAACAAACAAACAAACAAACAAACAAACAAACAACTGTGTTTGTGTGCATGCCCGCGCACGTGTGTGTGTGTGTGTGTGTGTGTGTGTGTGTGTGTGTGTGTGTGTGTGTGTGTTCTGGATTCTAGGACTTGAGAGATGGCTCAGTGGTGGAGAGCACTTTCTATTCTTGTAGAGGAACCAGGTTTGGTTCCCATCACTCAAATTAAAGATAATTGTAAACTCGAGTTTCAAGGAATCTGATTATCTCTTCTGGCAAGTGGAGTACATACATTCAGGCAAAACATTCATGCACATAAAATAAATAAACTTCTAATTTTTTGTAAAGAGTATTCGCTTTTTAAGTTGAAATTTCTTTGTTCACAAATATTATTTCATGCTAAGGAACTGATGATTATTTAGGTCAGAAAAACATATAAATAACTGCAATGTTAAAAGGCCGAATGTATCACAGAAAAAAAAAAAGAAACATAAGTGCTCACACACACACAAATATGCACACAGCCCTGGATTAGTCCCATTACACAGCAGAGCTCCCCAACTTGAAGAATTTGAAAGTATACTTTATAGTAAAAAATACATTTGCAAAAGGCATCCTCAATTGCTTCTCTCTGTTGCTGGGACAATGAGTCTAAGGCCATTATATTCCATTAATAAAACCATTATACTCCATTAATAACAAACTCCTTTTATTATTTCATCATTCCTATAACATAGCAAACTTTACTGTAGGCAAAACAAGAGACAAAAGGCACCATGGAAAAGTCCTAATTAAAGCTTCCTATGTAAGTAAAATCCCACCTTCTAACCTAATATTTTCTCAGATGGAAAGCAGCTTTATTAAGCAATAATAAGAAGGAAATAGATTTCTTGTTCTTTTTTTCCATCCTTTTCTTTGAAGGAAGAGGTGACATTGGTTGGCCTGGGGTGTTAATGTGTTTCAGCCTGTGAAATATGAAGCTTATATCTTATAAAACTTAAAGTGATGCAAACTTTAGACAAAATGGAGTATATCTGATATTAAAAAAATAAATTAGCGATTTTGTGTTTAAACTTTTCAAAACATGCCATAGCACAGTTCGCAATTAGCCCCCGAGATTGAGAGAAACGGGAATACATAGAATGCTGAAGAGCCCCTTGTGCGGTACCTGTGTTTGTTTGCATTATTGTAATTAATGATGCAATGCAGCTTCAGCATCCGGTACTTTTTAAATATGCCGAGTCCAGAAATGTTACATTATTTCCTTGTGTCTTTTTTTTTTCGATCCTAAAGTATAGATAATATTAACTTAGAGTCTCTGACAATAAAACAGGGTTCTGTATCTAAAAATGTGGAACAGCTCCAGATTTGTAGTACACGCTAGCCATTTTCACTTTCATAATCACTATTGGAACACTGCTCTTACTTTCCTGCTCGCGGTTTGATTAACATGAGTGATCCGTTTTTGCTGCTTCCTCAGTTTCGTAAACAGAAGGGCGATATCCTCAGAAAACACTCCCCTGTATTTGCCCTCTGAAAATTAAAAAGCTGCAAAGTGATCTGGAAGTTCATTGCTAGAAGTCTCAATTAAACGCCACCTGATTACATTCATGGGTGGCATATGGGATGGCTTGGTGCTGAGAACAATTGTCATGGAGCGACATTCCCTGCACGTTTTCTAAATGGAGAAGCACAGATGCCAGCTTCCAGGAGCCACACATAGTAAGAAGGGAGGCTGTGTCCGTGAGTATGGGAGAGGTGTCACAGGGACTTGGCCAAAGATGTGGATAAAGACTCCCCTGGCCCCCATTTCAAATTCATAAGGTGCTTACTTGATGTCAAGTCCATCAAACTAATACTAAAATGATAAATTTAATGGAGGCCGGAGGTGAATGAACGATTTAACTATCAAAAAACCTTATGGTTTTATTGGAGTGGCTATGGGCCTTGGTCTCATTTTTTTTCACTGCCGTGATAAAAGGGCCTTGCCTCCTAACAGGATTTTTACATGCCCTGTGGTCTATGCAGAGATGGCAAGGAGGTCAACCTTACCAAGATCCCAGAGAAGATGTCCTTTAGCTCACTTCCCCAGGGCATTTGAAGCTGAAATTTATATTCCGTTATCTGATTCCTGTAGTTAGAGTTTAATTGGCTACTCTACCTTGTGGAAGTCTTCTCAGATACTCTAGAGGTGTAGTTCCTTTTTGACTGTTCTGTCAGTCTGAGATAAAAAAGAAATATCATTTTAGCTAAAAATAGATGATGACATATTTCTGGAAGTTGGAGTATTACTTCATTTCAACCATTTCCTCTGACTTTTACAAGCTGGTTACCATGGAGATAAAATGAATTAAAACTTCTAAAATTCTCAGGCTCATCTGATAAATTCCTTTGCTGATTAAATGAATAGTTTGGCACTTGACTTAGATTTTATTATCCAGATTTGAAATAACCATTGATTTCTAAAAAGTTAATAAGAGTTGAATTACTTAAGTTCTTCTGAAATTTTTCTCTTAATGATGTTAGGACTTCCACTTTAGATTGAATGTAAAAATTAAAATATATATATATATATATATATATATATATATATAAATTATGACACATGGTTACTAATTATCAAATATTTTAAAAATATTAAAGATATCAGCCCTGATTTCAATTGATTGTCTAATAGAAGACCTTAATTGTAATGTTTCTCTCATGAATGTTATGATGATCAAAAACTATAGTTTGCTTCATCTAGATAAAATATAAATAATTCATCTTTCTCTCACAGGTACTAAATAAGATTAAAAGGTATATTTCAATATTTTTAATAAATATTTTAACATTTAAATAATTTACTTCCTAAATGAGAATAATCCTGATAAAGTTTTATTTAGGATTAGCACTATTGTACTTCACTTTACTTAGTGAACTTTGATGAATACGTCTACAAATATATTGGAAAGAAAATTACTCTTGTACCTAGAAGAAAAAATTGATATATGGTTATTGATTTTTCTTCTCCTCCCTAAGCCAAGTAATCACTAATTCACACAAATGGATTAAGAAAACTGGCCAGGTGGTTATGGAGTACACCTCTAATCTCAGTACCCAGGAGGCAGAGGCAGGCAGATCTTTGTGAGTTTGAGACCAGCCTGGTCTACAGAGCAAGTTCCAGGACAACCAGGCCTACACAGGGAGACCCTGTCTTGAAAAAAAACAAAAAAAGAGAGAGAAAACTAAAACTAAAATTTTGCTAGTATTTATGTATAGTCACATAGATGCAAATGTAAGCCAAGAGGTATTTTAAATAACAGTTCATATAGTTTTATAGCACATATATTAAATAATTACCAATAATATATCTAAAACATATCTCATGTTCATTCATATATATGTATATTTATAGCATTCAATATTTATATAATAATATAATTGCATTATATGCCACATTACTTTCATGCATATATGAATTGCCTAGTTAGAATTACTTTCCTATGATGAAATACCATGACCAAAAGGAAGTTGGAGGAAAAGGGTTTCTCTTATACTTCTGTATCATAGCGCATCACTGAAAGAAATCAGGGCAGTAATCTCACAGGGCAGGAACCTGCAGGCAGGAACTGATGCAAAGGCCATGGAGGGGTGCTGCTGACTGACTCACTCCTCATCATTTGCTCAGCCTGCTGTCTTGTGGAATGCAGGACTATCAGCCCAGGGACGGCACCACCCACAGTGTGCTAGGCCTTCCCCCATCAATAATTAATTAGGAAAATGCTTTATAGGCTTCCTGACAGCCAGATCTTATAGAGGCCTTTTCTTAACTGAGACTTCTTTCTCCCAAATGATCTGGCTTGTGTCAAGTCGATATAAAAGTAGCCATAACAACTGACCCCTTGTCAACCTGAGACACAAACACATCATTATTCAACCAGCACTTTTCATTTTTTTAATCATTCCCAAGTTCTCACATTCACATGAACATCACAATACAAAATATTCCAAATTTTAAAACTCTCACAGTCTTTAAAAATTCAAGCACTTCAAAGTTCAAAGCCTCTCATGACATTTAGGGTGTTGGGCGGTCAGATCACCAGAGTAGGTCAGTTCAGGCTTTCTCTTGACCATTGCCAATAGTCTATTGTGGAGGTATCTTTGTAGATTTCTGGGGACCTCTCTAGTACTTTTCTTCTTCCTAGTCCATGGGGTCTTCATTTATCATGGTCTCTCTTTCCTTGTTCTCCCTCTCTATTCCTGTTCCAGCTGGGACCTCCCGCTCCCCTAAGTTCTCTTTCCCCTGACCCTTGCCCTTCATTAACCCCCAGTTTGCTCATGTAGATCTCCATTTCTCTGTCATTGAGATATTCTTGTGTCTTTCTTAGGGTCCTCTTTAGGTACCCTCCCTGGAGTTGTGAGTTGCAGCCTGGTCATCCTTTGCTTTACATCTAGTATCCACCTATGAGTGAGTACATACTATGTTTGTCTTTCTGAGAACTCTCATCCAGTGACTGATGGAAGCAGATGCAGAGATCCATGGCCGAGCCCCAGGTGGAGCTCCAGGAGTCTAATCGGCTAGAGTGAGGAGGGATCAAATGAGCAAGAGATATTGAGATCATGATTGGAAAAAGCACAGGGACAACTAGCCAAACTAGTGGAAATGCATGAACTGTGAACCAATAGCTGAGGAGCCCCCCATGGAACTGGACCAGGCCCTCTAGATAAGTGAGACACTTGATTAGTTTGAACTGTTTGGGAGGCCCCCAAGCAGTGGAGCCAGGACCTGTCCTTGGTGCATGAGCTGGCTTTTTTGGAGCCTGGGGCCTATGCTGAGACATTTTGCTCAGCCTTGGTGTAGGGAGGAGGGGACTGGACCTGCCTCAACTGAATCTACCAGGCTAAGCTGAATCCCCAGGGGAGTCCTTGCCTTGGAGGAGGTGGGAATGGGGGGTGGTTTGGGGGGAAGGTGGGGGTGGGTGGGAAGAGGGAGGACAGGGAAATCCATGATTGATATGTAAACTTAATTTTTTTATAAATTAAAAAAAAAGTTCAAAGTCTCTCTAAAACACCCGAACTTTCTTTAAAAACCCCAAAGTCTTTGTAAAACTCCAAAACCTCTTTAAAAATTTAAAGACTTTCAACTGTGGGCTCCTGTAAAAAATCGAAATTAAGTTGAATACTGTATCACTTCAAGTGGAAAGAACCAGGGCACAGTTACTATCTGAACAAAGTAAAACCAAAACCCAACAGTATAAATAACTCAAAGTCATATTTGGACTTTGCTCAGGAACTTCTGGGCTCCTCCAAAGGGCTTACTACAGCTGTCTGACTTTGCTCCCTACAACCCATAGAGCTCATCTCATAGGCTCCACTAGATGGCCAGAACTCCACCGCTACTGCTGTTCTCGGTGATCATCCCATGATACTGGCCTCTCCAAAACGCTGGGGTCTTCTGGTGCAACTAGACTGCACACTCACCAATAGTTCCTCCTAGGGTCTCTTCAGAGATTTCAACTTTGTCATACAGAGCCAAGCTTCAGCTGCTCTCCAAGACCCTTACCTGCTGTGGGATGTTCTGTATGTCAAATATGTTGCTCTGATTGGTTAATAAATAAAACACTGATTGGCCAGTAGCCAGGCAGGAAGTATAGGTGGGACAAGCAGAGTGGAGAATTGAGAGAACAGGAAGGCAGAGGCAGAGACTGCGAGCTGCCACCAGGACAAGGAAGAGGTAGGGTACCAGTTAGCCAGGAGCCATGTGGTAAAGTAGAGATTAATAGAAATGGGTTAATTTATGATAAAAAAAAAATAGATAGCAAGAAGCCTGCCATGGCCATACAGTTTGTAAGCAATATAAGTCTCTGTGTGTTTACTTGATTGGGTTTGAACAGCTGCGGGCATGGCGGGTGAGAGAGATTTGTCCTGACCGTGGGCCAAGCAGGACTGGGGAAAACTTCAGCAACACTTACCTCCTTTAAAACCAGTACCACTTGGGTGACTCTCAGACTACCAAGTTCAACTGCCAGCCAAAGGTACAACCTTGGCCATAGCAGGAACACAACTTTGTGTTCTGACTCTCAGAAACCCTTTTCCAGAGGATTTCACCTCCATGATGTTGGTCTCTTCATAAGCACTGCCAATTCCTTAACTGCCTTTGACCGGCATTGAATATCCCAATAAAGAAAAAGTTTCACATTAGTAGTTCTGGCATCTTGTTAATCACAGCTTATTCCTCAGTACCAGCTAACCACAGAATCCTAGTTCAAAATAACAAATGGCTCCAGTGGAGTCTCTAAACTTCCCTCCGAAACTTCAAAGCCTGGCCTCCATTCTCTGCATGGCCCTCAACACTCTTATCTTCCAAGCTCCTATAGAACAGACCATTTAGCTCTCAACACACAAGGCTTTTCTCACCCCAAACTCCAGTCCTTCCACAGCCCCTCCCCAAAAAACACATGGTCAGATCTTTCCAGCAATATCCTACTATCTTGGTAACAACATCTGTCCTATTTAGTGTTTCTAATGCTCTGATGAAACACCAGGACCAAAAGCGAGTTTGGGAGGAAATGGAGTTTTTTGACTTGCAATTCCACATCAGAGTCTATCATTGAAGGAAGCCAGAAAAGAAACTCAAACACAGAAGGAACCCAGAGACAAGAGTTGATGCAGAAGCCATGGAGGAGTGCGGTTAACTGGTTTTCTCCTCAAGGATTGCTCCACATGCCTTGCTTAGTCTGCTTTCTTGTAGAACCCAGGGGTAGCCCCACCCACAATAGGCTGGGCCCTCTCAAATCAATCACTAATTAAGAAAATGCCTTACAGGTCTGCCTATACCCCAATCTTATTGAGGCATTTTCTCAGTTGAGGTTTCCTCCTTTCCAGGAACTCTAGCTTATGTCAAATTTACATAAAACTAGCCAGCACATGCATATAATGTGGTATATAATACAATAAACTTTATTCCTGCCCAGATTCCACTTAGCTCATCCATCCCACCATCCTTTTTCTACTTATGGAAGAATGAACATTTACAATATTCTCCTTAGTGATCTCCAGTTTTCCAGCATGACATCCCCGGCCAGTAGTGTCAACATGTGAACCAGTTAATACCTTGTTCAAGCTGTCATAGTTAGCTTCTATCACATTTATTTTGAAAAGCATTTATTGAGAAACTCTATTTTCCTGACTTGGGTATATCATTGCTTATGGACAAATTTTCTCCCTCACTTAAAAATA